TAAGCAAGGAGTGAGACAAGGATCAATTCTCTCACCCTACCTATGATGAAATTGTTGGTACTACTTTATATGGAAACTTGACTTGTGTTGTAGCTTATGCTGACGACATCATTCTTCTCAGCTCTACTCTCTCGGGCCTAAAAAAACTTATTTTAACTTGTAACATATACAACAATTTAAACGGGATAAAACTTAATGCTTTCAAATTGGAACTTTTGCTCTCTGGAAAAAGACAAATAATGAACTGCACAATATCTCTAGACAACCATCAAATTATACCTCGTGAGAAACTTAATCATCTCGGCTTTACTTGGGATACAAAAAAATCAATTTTTGCTTCACTAAATAGAATGAAGTAGGGTATCAAATTTCAGGGCAACAGTGCAAACTCTAATTCAATCTGGAATCCGGTTTGCACATCCAAGTTCTATTATCCAATTATAAAAATCATTAGTAGTTCCGACGTTAACCAACGGTCTAGAGCTTTGTGAAAATAAAGGTGCAACAATGAAAAGACTCGACACATTTGGAAGGAACGCAGTTAAATCAATTTTTAATGTCTCTAAGTATAGTAAAAACTATATACACTCTCTATTTAAAATTAAGGAGATGTCAAATTATATACACCAAAACAAAATAAATTTATTTATCGGCCTTTTAAACAATAAAGTAACCTTTGAAATCATTAACTCCCAACTTAACTACTGTTCAGCTAAATTTTCTTTTTTAGATGATATAAAAGAATTATGCGATAATCATAAACTGAATATGAAAACCTTAATGCTGGTTAAAAAAAAAGTAAAACTTAAAGTCTTAGAGAATGTAATTCCTGAAGCTACTCTTCATATTTTGGTACACGCGGTTCAATGTTGGAATGTAAAAGAACAGCGAACAATTTTTAAAAAGACACTTGAAGAAAACATTCCTGAATAATACTTTTTTTTATCTCTTTTTCTAAGTTTGTGTTTTTACCTTGTAAATTTATTTTACAGAGGGTGATTAATAAAATATTAATAATAATAATAGCAATAATAATAATAATAATAATAATAATAATAATAATAATAATAGTAATAATAATAATAATAATAATAATAATAATAGTAAAATAGTTATTAAAAAAACTATATTTTTTATTTATAAAATAATTTAGCCTAAATAAAACTAAAAGTTGCGTTAGTTTTATTATAATTTTGTTAGACTTTTTGAGACTTTTGGGCCATTTTTATTTTGAACACCTTTTTGTGTGCCACAACGTAAAAATGACGTAAAAAATGGTCCCCTAACATTGCGGGGCCCGGGGGTATAGCTTCCTCTAACCATAACCCTCCTTAATCTAGCATTGGGAATAAGACACGATTATATAAATAAAAATTATATTACACTCTTTGTTAAATAAAGAACATTTGTTTCCTTTTTAAACAACCGTAAGTTATTACTTTATAAAAAAACATAGCTTAATTTTGAAAAAAAACCATTAAAAAGCGATGTTTCGAAAATATTTGTTCTAAGGGATTATCCATAAATTACGTAAACAAAACAAAAAAAGATCAAAAGTTTTTCCCTCTCAGAGTCTTAATTTAAATAAATAACAAAATTAGGAAATTAAGTTAAATGAAAATCGTAAAAGAGCTTAATATCTCCTACTTCTGTTCTTAAACTTTTTTTTGCATTGCGTAATTTATGGATGATCCCTAAACGTAATTTATTTTGCTTTTTTCGCGTTAAAAGTTATTTTATTTGGGACTGCCTAAAAAGCCAAATTCTAAAACACCGAAAAGCCGAAATGCCGGAAAAAAAATGGCGTATAAGTAGTCTTGTGGTAACAGTAAAAAAAGACAACGAAAAGTTAATTATTCCCCGAATTTTTTGCAAATGCGAAAGTTTAAAGGAATAGAAGAAAAAGCCAAACTTGACTTTTGCTTTTGTCCTTTTAAACTTTTGCAAATAATAACGGAAAAAGAGACGAAATTTGACAGCAAACATTTGTAGAAAATTAAAGTGGCTTTTTGTTAGAACTCATTTAAGTGTTAGAGTCTAATGAAAAAAATGTTTTTCTATTATTAAGGTATCAGAGAAAAAATTTTGAGTGCAGTAAAAAATAATTTATTTGGAATGCTGTTATTTTTCTAATATGAGCAGTGGCGGTAAAGTCAACAGAGAGACCTAAACAGTAAACGTAACTGCGCTACGTTCAAAATTTTGGTAGGGTGACCCTTCCTTCTAAGTTGCTAGTGACTTAAAAGTTTTCTTTAGTTATTATTACTTTCTATGTATTTCTTATAGTTTTTCCAAAAATATGTCAAGTTCTTTTCTCAGAACACAACGGAGGAGCATTTATCTAAAGTTTTCTTCCCTTCCAATGACAGTTATTGAGCTAGAGCCGGCATGAAACCTCCTCGTTCTGAGTTTTAATTCTTATCACTTCGACACGGCTTCTGTTGATTAAAAGCCACGTTAAATAAAAATTTTTCAATTTTTCAAATATTTGTTAGTATATTATCTAAAAACGATAAAAAATGTTATCATTTTTAGATAATATACTAACAAATATTTGATTTCCTAATATATCAAGCATTTTTCTGAGTTAATATTTAGATATCAATTTCTTGATTTTTTGTACCTATAAAATATTTTTACCATGTTTATGTAAATTTCTAGAGAAAATTGCTCAAGTAACCTAAACAAGCAAGAATAAAATTACCTAAACAAGTAAGAATAAAATAACCTAAACAAGTAAACAAGTAAACAAGTAAAAGTTACACTGCCACATCAGGGATTACTAAAACCATACATTTATTTTTATGTAGTGGCGAGGATAGGATTGACGGGAAAAAAAGTAAAACAATTAAGTTATTAAACAATAATATAATAATCAATAAATATATTTAAGCTCTAACATTTATAAAAAATATAAAATGCGAACTATAAAAATATTGGCTGCACATTCATATTATATTAGAGACATTAAAGTTTACAATATAATATTTAACAAAAATTATGAAATTAAAAATAAATTAAAAAAATTTAGTTTTTAATTTATTTCCGATTTCATAATTTCATTTTTAAATTTATTATTCAAATTTTGAAAACAGTAATTCTATTTTTTTTTAAGGATGGGTGGGAGGGGGTCATACGCCCCTCCCGTAATAGAAACACCACTTGAATACGTAAGATCTTGTTGGATATTATTCTTATGATATTATTCTTATGACATGTTTTTTTCTAGAAAAAACATGTCATAAGAAAAAACTTCTAGAAACTTCATTGAGTGTTCTCTTTTTATATATTGATTCCTAATGCTAACATTTGGCAGCTTTAGAGGAATTTCGTCTCTCTGTTAAAGGCTATGAAAAAAAATATATACTTAGTTTTTGTTATGTTTAATGACAATTTATTTGTATTTAACCATTCAGTTACTTTTAACAGTTCTTTCTTGACTGCTTTAAATAGGGCTTTTATATTACTATGGAAATAAAATAAATTGGTATCGTCAGCAAGCAAAAGTCTAAAATATTCGAGACTTTGCTTAAATCTTTAATGTATATTAAAAACAAAAAGTGGTCCTATAATGGATCCTTGAGGAACTCCACAAGTGATTGTGTTATTTTCAGTTTTACCACCTTAATAAAAAACATACTGCTTTCTATTAGACAAGTAGTTTTCAAACCAAACTATATTTGTATTTTTAACTCCGTAATTTACTAGTTTTTTTAATAAAAGACTCAAAAAATATCATGAACAAGTTTAAGAATAGCATAATCAGTTGAATGACCTTCTTTGAACCCAAATTATTTGTTGTATAAAACATTTGTTTCTAGAAAAGAGAAAAGTCAATTATACTTGCCTTGGATCAAACAAATCCAAAATGCTTTCCTTGAACAGTTGGGTGAAGAACTTTCGTTCTTTCGTTGTAAACTGAACTAGACCAAAATGTATCAATGTGATTCAAAAAATTTTTCTGTGGTTATTTAAGGTGCTCTATTTTTTTAAAACAAGAAATACCTTTCTTATTTGAAGAAATAAATATCCTACCTCGCAATTTATTTTTAAAAACAAGAAATATATTTCTTGCTTTGAGAAATAAATTTCTTAAACTATGCTTAATAAATTCACGAATTTGTTGCGAGTTCTGATGAGTTGTTAGCAACTTTGAAAGATTTCAAAAGTTTTGAAACTCACTTCACCCCAGTTTACACTATATTGTAATTTTACTGTGTCAACTTTAATTCAGATAAAAAAAGCTCTTTTTCTATACTGCATAAAGTTTTTCTTCTTAAAAGATTAAAAATTATCAAAGAATAACAAAAAAAAAAAAGAAAGATTTTTTTCCAGAGGTTTTTATTTATAAATGAAGCTTGAAAATTAAAATCAATAGTTTTAGATATAAATAAAAAGATGTATATATTTTTTGTGCTAAATTTTATATAAAAGACTACTAATAGATTTATTGAATTCATTTAATTTATTCACTTTAGAACTTAAATATAAAAACTTTTTCTGCTCATTACAACCGACTTAGCAATTTAAAAATCAAATAATTAATAGCGCTTGCGATAATGCGCGCAACAAATAATAAGGTTAGAAGTAATGCGCAGAACAACTGTTTAAAGCTATGCACGTAACAATTAATAATGTCCGGAGTTATGTACGGAACAACTAATAATATTTGAATCTAACATTAAAATTTCAAAATGTTTAGTTTTAAGAATCCCAACTACCGTTTAACATGGAATTCTTTATTTTCGATTGTTAATAAAAATGCTCTCCGTTTTTATGTAAGCCAAAAAATTATTTGAAAATAAATTATTAATAATAAAGTGAATCAATATGACAAAATAGAGTTCGAAAAACTAAATTGCAAAATATACTTCAAAACTAGTCGTCAAAACTGGCAATTCTTTTTTACATTTATAAACGTTTGTAAAATTATAAATATAACAATAAAAAGTTAAACACTATATTTTTTTAATAAAGGTTTTAACTGAAAAAAACGAAAATAAAAAAATTTGGAGTTTTTCACGCTATAAATTACATGATTTATAAAGTATTTTTAGAGATTGGGCTGCCCATTTCGACAATATATAAAAAATTGTTTCCACGACCAGAATTTCATATAATAAAAAGGAAGTTCTTTCTATCCGGCTCATGCTATGCATATCGCAGCTAAACAATTCAATCAAATAGGAACATCATAAATAACTATAGATTTATCATCACCAACTGAAGCAATTTTGGATCCAGTACTGTTGTAACAAACGCCCCATACCTACAAAATTAAATACAGTTACAATTATCAAGTATCAAACCTAACCAAATACAAGTATCAAGCCTTACCAAATACAAGTATCAAGCCTTACCAAATTAAACAAGCAAAAGTATAACTTAAAAAAGTACAAGCAAATTAAATAGATTTTACAATTCAAATCTTTAGTTTAATTTAGAGTTAATACTCAAAAAAATTATTTTTTAGATTTGAAATAATACTTCACAAATCGCAAATTCCATATTCAACCAGAAAAGTTTTCATAATTTTATTATTACTTGCTGAAATTTCAAAACTTTCGCAGATTCTATAATATTCAACAGTAGATAATAATCGAATATTATCGATAAAACAGGTCAACAAAAAAAATTTATTTTCTGTTGCCGAGCAAACAATTAGTTTTTTTTTTGTAGTATTTCTCATCGTGATTTCAAATATACAATTCATTTTTCACCATCACGTCAAGTTTTAAAGATATTTTGGTTCAAATCTTTACTATTTGGGGTAAAATACCTAATATTGTCGATAAAAAAGTTATTCAAAAGTATGTCAACCTGGGTCTTAAAAGAAGCGTATTTTCATAGAGATTTTAAAAATGTTATTCGTTTGCAATAAAAATAAGTACTTTTTGTATTATTGCTGAGTAACATTTTGTTAAAATTTTTTTAAGAGTCTTTAGCATTTTTTTACATAGTTTTTTTGTAATAAGTTTAAGGAAAAATATTTATGTTTTCTAAAATCTCTATAATAATACGCTTCTTTTGAGACCCAGGTTGACATACTTTTGAATAACTTTTTTTTCGACAATATTAGGGATTTTGCTCCAAATACTAAAGATTTGAACCCAAATATCTTTACAACTTGACGTCATGGTGAAAAATGAATTGCATATTTGAAATTAAAATGAGAAATGCTATAAAAAAAACTGTTTGTTTGCTCGGCAACAGAAAAAAAAATTTTTTGTTGACCTTTGTAACTGATAGTATTAATTTTAGCAAGCTTTAAGAAGAAATGAAACTGTGCAAAGCGCATTGCGCCTATATAACTAATTGATTGATTGTGCAATCATATAGACAAGTAAAAATATATTTTGAAATTTATTACGAAAAACAATATTTATTTCACAATGTTTGTTCTATGCAACCATTATATATTTTTGGACTTTAAATTTTAAATTCATAACCATAATGATTGCGTCATTATAAAACCCACATAATAGCCCAGACAAATTAGGTTTTGACACGGAAAAAATTAGAAGAAAGCTGAAAATTGTTGGAAATGTTCTGCATGCACTCCTGATTCATATTAGTAAAATCGGCCAAATTGGAGTGGAGGTTTATCTGAAATCCAAGATGGCGTCCAAGATGGCATCTAAAATATAACTTGTAATATCTGAGCTTGTAGATCAAAAGACATGATTCTTCTGTCTACCATTTGGTTTGTGAGAGATCAAGAAATTAATTTCCTTTTTAGTTTTAAAAAAAAAACAAAAAAGTCGTCAAACTCCAAGATGGCGGCCAAAAAGGCGTCAAAGTTAAAATGTTTATTATCTCAGCTTGTTAATCAAATTGAAATACAATTTTTGTGTTTTGAATAATGTTTTTCAGGTCAGGCAACTCAATTTTATTTTTGTGAAAAACAAAATAGCTGTCAATTTCAAGATGGCTGCACAAACAGCATCAAAACTAAAATATGAAAGTTCGTATACCATTTTTAAAGCCAATTCTTGTGTCTTGTAATTTGTAATTGAGGAAACAAAGATGTAGCATGTTAAATGTGATTTTTTAATAACTGTTTTATAGATATTGGTATACAAAGTATTTGTTCGTAGTAAACCCACGGCTATACCAGTCTTTGAGAAATTCGCTTGGAAGAAAATACTATTGTATATACAAACATTAAATAAAGAAATCGGAAACTTTAAACTATATCACATTGTATACTGAACAACACCTTAACTACGCTTATATCAAACTGTTACAAAATTATCATAATTATATTATCCAGTTCTTTATTATATTTGATTGTAAATTGTTTAAATGGCTCTTCATCTGAACTGTTGACATCTCCATTTTCGTCATTGTCATAACATTTATATTAATCAGACAGCATCCTTTACGATATTATGTGACAGCATCCTTTACGATCACAAGATTTGAGCAATCCACTCCTTGGCAAGACCCACACATTGATGAGCACTTAAAATCACCAACAAAAAAGCCGTTTTCAATCATTGCAAATCAACTACTACAGGAATTTATTATTTTGGTAGAATGCTTTGTTTTAATTATACTATTCATAAAACAACATTTACCTTTTTTACATTTGCGATTCCTAATGCATCCAGTTTTGCAATTACAGCTCACAAGATGCAACAAATTTCCTGAAGCTGGCGGTTGAAGGTTTGATATTGGTCAAAGATTTGATCATATCATTTTCCAACCCATCTAGTGGATCCAAGTTATGACCACCCCATTGCTGTACTTGATGTTAGACACAAAATGAATGTTGCTTTTCTCCAGAAATTGTTGGAGGACAAAATCGAATGTTTTGTGAACTGGTTTTTATGCTACTCTGCAGAGATTTTCATATTAACAATTATTATCAAGCAAAATTGAATTGTTTTTTGATCCATACAATATTAGGAAAAATTATTCTCCAGCATGAGCAATTTCATTGTGTTTGGCTTCTGACACGATAAAGACATAAACAACTTTCTTTATGGCTTGATGGTAAGGAAATGATGAATCACATCCAGACATTGCTTTCAAATACAACAACTGCCCAGAGCAGTCGCTAAAGCATTCTCTCATCTTGTTTGCATTTTAAACATTGTCTTGCTTAGAATCTTTCCCAGGCATGAAAATAATAGTAGTTGAATCTGTTAGAGCCACAAGTAATACTAGCAGATCTGTGTCTTCTCCAATAATTACAACAGGTTTGTTGAACCTATGTCTTGACAAATTATTTGCTAATAATTAGTGTTCCCGCATCTCTTGGTGCTTTTTTAACATAAATTCCAGAATCTGTGAGGCACACTGATAAGACTTCAACGAATCTGGTTTTGTTGCGAAGATTTGAAAAAAAAATTGCCTTGGTTGAATTATCATCGATTCATTAAAAAAAATATCTGCTGAAACTATTTTGGACTGGTTCCGCCTGTGTTCTTATTTGGTATTAGGTAAATATCCTACCTCGCAATTTATTTTTAAAAACAAGAAATATATTTCTTGTTTTGAAAAATAAATTTCTTAAACTATGCTTAATAAATTCACGAATTTGTTGCGAGTTCTGATGAGTTGTTAGCAACTTTGAAAAATTTCAAAAGTTTTGAAATTCACTTCACCCCAGTTTACACTATATTGTAATTTTACTGTGTCAACTTTAATTCAGATAAAAAAAGCTCTTTTTCTATACTGCATAAAGTTTTTCTTCTTAAAAGATTAAAAATTATCAAAGAATAACAAAAAAAAAAAAGAAAGATTTTTTTCCAGAGGTTTTTATTTATAAATGAAGCTTGAAAAATAAAATCAATAGTTTTAGATATAAATAAAAAGATGTATATATTTTTTGTGCTAAATTTTATATAAAAGACTACTAATAGATTTATTGAATTCATTTAATTTATTCACTTTAGAACTTAAATATAAAAACTTTTTCTGCTCATTACAACCGACTTAGCAATTTAAAAATCAAATAATTAATAGCGCTTGCGATAATGCGCGCAACAAATAATAAGGTTAGAAGTAATGCGCAGAACAACTGTTTAAAGCTATGCACGTAACAATTAATAATGTCCGGAGTTATGTACGGAACAACTAATAATATTTGAATCTAACATTAAAATTTCAAAATGTTTAGTTTAAGGAACATAGACTATCAGAATATCCATTAAAAACAACCCAACAATTTTTCCTATACTAACATGATGTCCCAAAATTTATGCAGTAACATTTGATGCACACAATATAAGTTTAGCTGCCAATCTCCAGTTTGTTCTGCTCTAATGAACGACTTAGTTTGTGTGACTACATATACATTTTCTACAATTAGATCTCAAAGACCTGTCCCAGTGGGCATGTGTTGTCTAGAGGACGCTCGTTAGACGTCCAGACATCCATAAGACATCCAGACATCCATAAGACGTCCTGACATCCATAAGATATCTAATGGTCGTTCTCCAGACAACGCATGCCCACTGGGGTGCTCCTTGGCTTGTTTTAAGTAGCCAATTTTATCTACTCAACAGATACAATCTCTTTTGAAGTAGATAGAAGCTTTGACATATCAACAATTATATACGAACTGATTGTATGCTCAGGAGTATTACATCAAATTTCACCCATGCTGTGAAAAGTATTGTGACCATCTAAAGTACGGATGATATAATCCACATTATCAAAAACAAACTGGATAAATGCATCTGATTCTATCTTATTGTCTACGGTGGATAATGTAACAACTGATTTGAAAAGCTTTGCCCCGTTATATGATATAATAATCTAATATTGTAAAGCATTTTGTGTCTGTGTCTGGGCAAGTACACAGACAACCTAATTTAAATGTTATATAGAAAAGATCTTGGTTTTGTTGCGTATATAGTAGCATGCTCTAAGGTGACACATTTATGTTTTAGGGTATTCTCCTTATTCCTTTTCTCTTTATTAACCACATTTTCAAAAAAGACTTGTAAGCTTTCTGGAACTTGTTCCTGTGAAGTAACTATCATATTCTGAAATGTAGAATATTGTTCTAATTCATAAACATGACAACGTATGTCTCTAGAATAATTTCTGCAGCTGTCTCAACAATCCAACGTTGCTCATCAGCCCTGTTGATCCATCTTTGTAAATACCAATTATCTGTTAAAATTTTATGGTTTGCATGAAAAAAGCAAAAAGTATTTTTTTTGCCCAGAATGGTTGTAATTAGCAAATCATTACCAAAACAAGCTTGAAGTTTAATTTTCAAATTTTTTTCTGTGTACGGGTCAATTCCAGAGA